CTGCTTCCCGGGTTTAAGCAATTCTCCTGCCTCACACTCCCGAGTAGCTGGAATTACAGGCGCGCAGCACGACACCCGGCTAATTTTTTACATTTTTGGTAGAGACGGGGTTTCGGCAAGTTGGCCAGGCTGGTCTCGAACCCCTGACCTCAAGCGATCCGCCCGCCTCCGCCTCCCAAAGTGCTGGGATTACAGGCTTGAGCCACCGCGCTCAGGGCCCCTACTGAACGTTTTTTTCTGGCTTCTGGGAAGCCAAAAGGAAGAAGGGCCGGTCCTCGGAACTGGGGGCGCTGAGTCAGTGTAGGATCCTGCAAGGCCACCTTGAAACACTGTCATCAGCTGCCGCTTCCTCCCCCGTAAAATGGGTCACAGGATCCTAACCTCACGGGCTTTGCAGCAGGGGTCTAAGAGAAAAGATCAGGAACAAGTCGGGCTCCCTTTCTTGGCACCCCAGCGGGACTTTACGGGGGGGACGAACTGATCACTCCGCCAGGCCCCTGAGCCCGCAGGCAGGCCACGGTTTGCCGGAGGAACCCAGGCCGGGAAAGGAGAAGTGAGAGGCAGGTGGGGTGGGCTGGGGGGAGGGGAGGGCCCGCGGGAGGCGGTGAAGCGGGGAGGGGCGCTGCTCCCCGGCTCTGCAGCCAATCAGGCGGGCGGCCCCGCCTCACGCAACCCGGGCTGTGGTTTCATCACCTGCTCCCCAAGTACCTCATTACGGGCCACAGGAAGAGCCCCTTGGAAAGCCAGGACACCCCTCCCCTCTCCTGGGGGCTCCAGCGGCTCAGACCCCAGCTGCAGGCGACCCTCCCTCCCCAGCCAGAGTCCTGGGCCCGCTGGGGGCCTAGGGGCCTGGGGAGGTGGTGCCCAGGTGGGGGGCACCTAGGTGACCTGGCGGCCTGGCTCAGTGCACAGCGGTCCCTGGATCCCCGCATCTGCCCTCGGGGACTTAGAGGCCAGGGTGGGCTCCAGCAGTAATCTCATGTCGCCTAGCTTCTCTGGAACTCAGTTTCCTCCCTCAGAAAGTTGGGGGCAGCAGGGGCCACCTGGCTGAACGGAGGGGAGGGGCTTCACAGTGAGGTACTTTATAGATGCGGGGAGCATTTGTGGTCACTGGGCCCTGATGTCCCTCAGAAGGCCTTGGGGTCACCTCTCCATCCCGGGGAAACCCAGCTTAGAGTGACGGCCCTGAGAAGTCCCTGGCAGGGTGCTGGGGGACAGGGGCAGATGGGGTTGGGGTCACTCCATCCTTGTATGGGCATAATGGAAGGTATTATTCCCCACACACGGAGACCCCCAAACATAAGCAGAGCCGCACAAAACCCACAGGTGCCTGAAACATAACAGATCCCCCAAATACACAAGGATTCCTCCAAAATACACCCTGGTCCCTCTGCATAGACAGACTCCCCAAAACACTCAGACACATCCAGATGCCCTAACACATGCCTATCTGCCAAACGCACAGACTCCCCCCAGGCACATACAGATCTTCCTGAACACATGGCTGTCCCCCGAATACACAAAGATCCCTTCCCCCTCAACAAGGTGGAGTTCCCCCCCCCCGGCCCCGCCCGCCAGACACATGCAGACTCTTCCAAACATATAGACTCCCCCCAGTCTATGCTGGTCCCCCATCACACAGGTAGCGCCCCCCCATCACTGCAGTGATATCACCCACACCCTGGTTTTCTTCTTTTTTGTTTTTTTGTGAGGACAGGGTCTCGCTCTGTCACCCAGGCTGGAGTGCAGTGCCGCAATCTCAGCTCACCGCAGCCTCTGCCTCCCGGGTTCAAGCAATTCTCTTGCCTCAGCCTCCCCAGTAGCTGGGATTACAGGCATGCACCACCATGCCCGGCTAATTTTGTATTTTTAGTAGAGGCGGGGTTTCGCCATGTTGGCCAGGCTGGTCTTGAACCCCTGGCCTCATGTGATCTGCCTACCTCGGCCTCCCAAAGTGCTGGGATTACAGGCCACCATACCTGGCTGGGTTTCTTCTTTTTAATTATTATTATTTTTTGAGATGCGGTCTCGCTCTGTTGCCCAGACTGGACTGCAGTGGTGCCATCATAGCTCACTGCAGCCTCCAACTCCTGGGCTTAAGCAATCCTCCCTCCTCAGCCTCCCCAGTAGCTGGGGCTACAGATGCATACCCAATTTTTACCTGAACTATGCCCAGATTTTTTTTTTTTATATAGAGACGGGGTTTTACTTTGTCACACTGGCTGGTCTTGAACTTCTGACCTCAAGCTGTTCTCCTGCCTCAGCCTCCCAAAGTTCCGGGATTACAGGTGTGAGCCACCTCACAGGCCTGGCTTCCTTCCCGAGGTAGGATGGTCTCCAACCACTGAAATGCGGGCTGCGGGCATAGATGTGAATGGGTAGTGTGTGAATCCAGGAATCTCAGACTGCTCCAGCTGGAGAAGGACCCATGGAGGTCCCTTTGGCGTCCATGGGGAAACTGAGGCCCAGTGGGGAGCCCTCAGACCGCCTTCCAACCTCTCCCTGGGCCTGCTCCTGGAAGGGACAGCTCCTGTTTGAGGGCAGGATGAGGAGTCCAGGGGACCCCCATGGCACCCCCCCACCCCGCTCTGCTCCAGGATCTCACTTTGGCCACGCACAGAGAGGCCAGGGCAGGGGCTGTGGCCCCGTCAGTACAGGATTCAAATCCTAACCCCGCCACTTTCCTACTGCGAGAGGCAGGAGAATCCCTTGAACCCGGCTCACACCACTGCACTCCAGCCTGGGTGACAGAGTGAGACTCTGTCTCAAAAGAAAAAAGAAAGAAAAGGTGTCATCTACCAGCAGACTCCCAGTCCACCTTATGCCCCTTTGGGGCCATCTGCAACAGCAGCCCCAAACTGACCCCCCATTTGCCCATGACTCTCGCTTTCCCTGGGTTGTGCCAGACTCCGGGACACCCTTCTAGGTTTGCCCAAGTCCAAGAGTGTCTCTGTGTCCTCCAAAGACCAGAAAACCCTCTTTCTGGAAGCACCAATCTTTAATATTTATTTTATTTATTTATTTATTTATTTATTTATTTATTTATTTATTTTTTGGAGACGGAGTTTCGCTCTTGTTACCCAGGCTGGAGTGCAATGGCGCGACCTCGGTACACCGCAACCTCCGCCTCCTGGGTTCAGGCAATTCTCCTGCCTCAGCCTCCTGAGTAGCTGGGATTACAGGCACGCACCACCACGCCCAGCTAATTTTTTGTATTTAGTAGAGACGGGGTTTCACCATATTGACCAGGATGGTCTCGATCTCTTGACCTCGTGATCCACCCGCCTCGGCCTCCCAAAGTGCTGGGATTACAGGCTTGAGCCACCGCGCCCGGCTAATATTTATTTTAATTTTTTGTTTATTTATTTATTTTTTGAGATGGCATCTCACTCTGTTGCCAGGCTGGAGTGCAGTGGCGTGAGCTCGGCTCACTGCGTCCTCTACCTCCCGGGTTCAAGCGATTCTCCTGCCTCAGCCTCCCGAGTAACTGGGGCTACAGGTGTGCGCCACCATGCCCAGCTAATTTTTGTATTTTTAGTAGAGAAGGGTTTCACCATGTTGGCCAGGCTGGTCTCGATCTCTTGACCTTGTGATCCACCCACCTCAGCCTCCCAAAGTGCTGAGATTACAGGCATGAGCCCATGCCCGGCCTATTTTAATTTCTTGAGGCAGGGTCTCATTTTGTCACCCAGGATGGAGTGCTGTGGCGTGGTTTCGACTCACTGCAGCCTGGACCTCCTAGACTCAAGCGATCCTCCCACCTCAGTCTCTGGAGTAGCTGGGATTACAGGTGCAAGATGCCACACCTGGCTAATTTTTGTACTTTTTCGTAGATCTGGGGTCTCCCAATGTTGCCCAGGCTGGTCTTGAACTCTTGGCCTCAAGAGATCCTCCTGCCTCGGTCTCCCTTAATGCTGGGATTATAGGTGTAAGCTACCATGCCTGGCCAAATTCAACTATTTCTGCAGCACCCATCCCTAACAGATTTTTTAGTGTGTGTTTCTTTCTCTTTTCTTTTTTTTTTTGAGACGGAGTTTCACTCTTGTTGCCCAGGCTGGAGCGCAATGGTGTAATCTCAGCTCACTGCAACCTCTGTCTCCTAGGTTCAAGTGATTCTCCTAACTCAACCTCCTGAGTAGCTGGGATTGCAGGCGGCCGCCGCTGTGCTCAGCTAATTTTTCTGTTTTTAGTAGAGACAGGGTTTCACCATCTTGGCCAGGCTGGTATCGAACTCCTGACCTTTTGATCCACCCACCTTGGCCTCCCAAAGTGCTGGGATTACAGGTGTGTGTGAGCCACGGCGCCCGGCCTGCTGTGTGTTTCTTTATTGCTTTCTCTGATGAGCCTCTCGCCCTGTTGGCTCCCTAGCATCTAGTACGTAGAAGGCCCTCAGTCACCTGTCCTTGAATCAGTGAGCAAACAACTGCTTCACAAACGGAAGAAACACTGGTAACTTGCTCCGTCTTCTGTTTTTTTTTTTAAGACAGGGTCTTGCTCTGTCACCAGACTGGAGTGCAGTGGCACAATCTTGGCTCACTGCAACCTCCACCTCCCGGGTTCAAGCCAATCTCGTGCCTCAGCCTCTGGAGTTGCTGGGACTGCAGACGCCCGCCCCTCCACGTGGCTAATTTTTTGATTTTTTGACATTTTATTTTTTGTAAAGACAGGGTGTCACTAGGTTGCCCAGGCTGGTCTCGAACTCCTGAGCTCAAGCAATCTACCCACCTCGGCCTCCCAAAGTGCTGGGATTACAGGCGTGAGCCACCACGCCCAGACTACTTGTTCACTTCCCACTGAAACACCTCATGGCTTCCACAACAAATTTAAGGCCCTGTCTGGCCCACAGGTTGCCAGTTTGTGGCCCCTGCTCTAAACAACCTTCACAGCAAAACCGCCAACTGGACGGCACTGACGCTGCTCTCACACCAAGAAACTGACCCTCCGAAGGTCCCACTGCCCAGTGTGGGAGAAAACCACGTCCAGACGACCATCCACAGCAAATCTGGCCTGGCATAGGCACCCTCACCCACCGAGAAGGCTTGTTCCAGCCTGGGTGTGGTGGCTCAGGCCTGTAATCCCGGCACTTTGGGAGCCAAAGTGGGTGGATCACGAGGTCAGGAGTTCGAGACCAGCCTGGCCAACATGGTGAAACCCTGTCTCTACTAAAAAGACAAAAATTAGCCTGGCATGATGGTGCACGTCTATAATCCCAGCTACTCGGAAGGCTGAGGCAGGAGAATCACTTGAAGCTGGGAGGCGGAGGTCGCCCAGCACCTGGAGCCAAGAGAGACCCCGCACTCTGAATTTGACTCCGCTGTCCCCATGGGGGCTGGAGTCCAAGGCCCTCTAAGGCCCCCGTTGATGTCCCCTAAGCCACAGTAGTGGCTGCAGGGACAGCCCGAGGTTTTCCTCTCTTTGTTCCAGAGAAAGATCTCCCTGTGGGGCCTCAGAAATTTGTCCCCAGACACCCCAGCCTCCCTGTTTGGGAAATTAGCACATCTGTCAGCGCTGGGCAGAAGGGACTCTGTGCACAGCCTGGCAGCCCCAAGATGCAGCCAGCAGGGACCCCGAGATGGGGCTTTAGGACATTGCCAGCCCCCAATATCTTCCCACAGAAATGTCTGGGAGCCCATCAGGTGCTGGGGATGCAGGAGCAGGGGGTAGACAGAGCCAGGCCTCCCCCATCATTCAGTCTGATGGAGGAGGCAACAGT